CTTTTTGAGACAGAGTCTTGCGCTGTCGCCCTGGCTGGAGTACAATGGTATGATCTCAGCTCACTGCAACCTCCGCCTCCTGTGTTCAAGTGTTCAAATGATTCTCTTGCCTCAGCCTCCGGAGTAGCTGGGATAACAGCTGCCTGTTACCACATCCAGCAAATTATATTTTAGCAGAGACAGGGTTTCACTATGTTGGCCAGGCTGGTCTTGAACTCCTGACCTCGTGATCCGCCCACCTTGGCCTCCCAAAGTGTTGGGATTACAGGCATGTTTTATACTTTCTGTAGTCCTTTTAAGTTTAGGCCCTACCAGGCCTACTTTAATAAATGAGAAAAGATTTATTATACTGTTTCTATGTATTAGCTTGTTAATTTTTAACTTGTCCTGTTTTAATAATTTCTTTGGCACAATAGAAACCTCTTCCTAGACCTAACTCATCACAATTTAAAAATTTGAGTTAGTGAGGTTTTACTATCCAGAGACCCAAAATCATCAGATATTTGCATCTATTCGCTTGTTTGTAGAATTTAGATCAACAATTTGGTTTTGCCTTATTTTGTCCGGCAGGAAATAATTTTATATTGTTAATGCATTTTATTCAAATGTCAGTGTTTGATTTCATAATTTTTATACAAATCTTACATTTTACACTTAATATTCTTTCCTCTTAGTGTTCTTTCATGTATATAAATTATTATAATTAATATAATGGATACAAGGAAGGTAAAAAATTGAAAACTCATGAAAATTTTGTTTAGAAAACTATATTCATTATTATTTCGTTTATAGATAAAAACATTTCATGTGCAGTTTTTTTTAGTTTTAGGAGTGGAGTATTCATTTTTTTCAAATTTTACATTTTTATTTATTTTGTGAATTTTGTGGACTCAAAAGACAAATCAAAATTTGAGAATTAGGCCAGATGCGCTGGCTCACGCTTGTAATCCCAGCACTTTGGTTGGCCAAGATGGGCGGATCACTTGAGATCAGGAGTTTAAGACCAGCCTGGCCATCATGGTAAAACCTCATCTCTACTCTATAAAGATTAGTTAGGTGTGATGACACATACCCATAGTCCCAGCTACTCAGGAGGCTGAGGTGAGAGAATTGCTGGAACCTGGGAGTCAGAGGCTGCAGTGAACTGAGATCATGCCACTGCGCTCCCAACTAAGTAACAGAATGAAAGTCTGTTCAAGAAAAAAAAAAATTGAAAATGATCGGGAAGGTGGGAAAAATATACTAAGCTACACTGTGTGCAAGAAAAGTGTACATTTTTTTCTTTGAGATGGAGTTTTGCTCTTGTTGCCCAGGCTGGAGTGCAGTGACATAATCTTGGCTCACTGCAACCTCTGCTTCCTGGGTTCAAGCAATTCTCCTGCCTCAGCCTCCCAAGTAGCAGGGATTATAGGCTTTCGCCACCACACCCAGCTAATTTTTGTATTTTTAGTAGAGACAGGTTTTCACAATGTTGGCCAGGATGATCTTGAACTCCCGACATCAGGTGATCCACTTGCCTCGGCCTCTTAAAGTATTGGAATTACAGGCATGAGTTACTGTGCCAGGTCAAGAAGTGTACATTTTTCAATAGCATCTTGTAAAATCAGTCTGGAAGTGGGTTTTATGTAAGGATTGATTCAGAATGAGAAAAGAGGCAGAGAATAAATATTGATGGTATTGTGAATAATGGCAAAATTAAGACAGGTAGTAAGAGTTGAAAATTAAACACAGATACATGTTACTAAATCAAAATTAGATATATCATAGACTAGTGAGTGGCACAAATGATCCTTAAGGAAAACAAAACTTCAGCAAAATATCTGGTAAAACTTGGTATTTTTATTCTCCTAGTTAAACTTATAAAAATGTAAAATCTTGGCAGTATTTAAGGTAGATAAGTTGTCTTTGTCAGCTAATAGTAGTATAACATATGATGATTACTTCAAAAAATTTACAGAAACAGCAAACAATTGGGAATCTGACGCAGTGTACGGCTCTTACTGAAAACGGTAATAGTGATGAATGTAAAGAGATGTCAGAAATGAAAGAAGGGAAAGCATGTAAACAACATGTGTCACAAGGGATTTTCATGACGCAACCACCTATGATTATGGAAGCATGTTCAGATGAGGAAGCAGGTAATAACTCAGGCCAGGTGGGACCTCAGACTGACACTGATGGAGAGGGTTTGCAAAAAGAGGTATTTAGACATGAAAATAGAAGTGGTGTTGATCAGTTTGATGCTAAGTAAATAGAAAAGGAACTGATGGAGGACACAGAAGGATTTAGAAGCAGAAGAAGTAGTCTCTGAGAAGGAAACTAAACTGCAGAAATAGCAGATATGAAGGATTTAAGAAAAAGGGAAACTATCACAAAAAATATCAGTACTTTCTTTGGCAACTTACCAGATAGAGGTATGAATACTGAGAGTGAAGAAAATAAAGATTTTGTTAAGAAAAGAGAAAGTAGCAAGCAAGATGTGATCTGTGACAGTGAAAGAGAATCAGTAGAAAAGCCAGACAGTTACATGGAAGGTGCAAGTGAGAGTCGGCAGGATATAGCTGATAGATTCCAGCAGCCTGAGGCAGTAGAATTTAGTAGTAGAGAGAAAGATGATGATGAAATGGAAACTGACCAAAACATATGGTATAGCGGGAAATTGATTGACCAAGGAAACGAAAAAGAGACTAAACCCATAATATCCAAATCCATGGCAAAGTATGATTTTAAGTGTGATCACTTGTCAGAGATCCCAGAGGAGAAGGAAGGAGGAGAGTATTCAAAAGGAAATGGAAGAGAGGAGCAAGAGGTAGAAGCAAATGAGGAAAATGTCAAGGTGCATGGCGGAAGAAAGGAGGAAACAGAGATCCTATCACATGACGTTACAGACAAAGCAGAGGTGAGTGAAGGCAAGTCAGGGGGAGAGGCAGAGGATGGGCCTGAAGGTAGAGGGGATGGAACCTGTGAGGAGGAAAGTTCAGGAACAGAACACTGGCAAGGTGAGGACAGGGTGGAGAAGGGGGAGAAAGACAAGGGTAGGGGAGAAATAGAGAAGCCAGGAGAGGGAGAGAAGGACCTAGCAGAGAAGGAGGAATGGGAAAAGAGGGATGGGGAGGAGCAGGAACAAAAGGAAAGGGAGCAAGGCCATCAGGAGGAAAGAAACCAAGAGATGGAAGAGGGAGAAGGGGAGGAGGGAGGGGAGGAGGAGCACGAAGAAAGAGAAGAAGAGGAGGGAGACAGAGAAGAGGAGGAAGAAGAAGAGAAAGAGGAGGAGGCAGAAGGGACAGAGGAAGAAGGGGAAGAAGAGGGAGAAGGTGAAAAGGAAGCAGGAGAGGAGGAGGAAGGAGAAAGGGGAAAGGAGGAAAGAGGGGGGAAGGAGGAGAAAGGAAAGGAGGAAGGAGACCAAGGAGAGGGGGAAGAGGAGGAAACAGAGGGGGGAAGGGAGGAAAAAGAGGAGGGAGGGAAAGTAGAGGAAGGTGAATTAGAGGGGGAAGAGGAAGAAGGGGAGGAGGTGGAAGAGGAGGAAGGAGAAGGGGAAGGGGAAGAGGAGGAAGGAGAAGGGGAAGGGAAAGAGGAGGAAAGAGAAGGGGAAGGGGAGGATGAAGGGAAGGAAGGAGAAGGGGAAGGTGAGGAGGAAGGAGAAGGGGAAGGTGAGGAGGAAGGAGAAGGGGAAGGTGAGGAGGAAGGGGAGGAAGGGGAGGAAGGGGAAGGGGAGGATGAAGGGGAGGAAGGAGAGGAGGAAGGGGAGGAAGGGGAAGGGGAGGATGAAGGGGAGGAAGGAGAAGGGGAAGGTGAGGAGGAAGTGGAGGAAGGAGAAGGGGAAGGTGAGGAGGAAGGGGAGGAAGAAGGGGAAGCAGAGGGGGAAGAGGAAGAAGGAGAAGGGGAAGTGGAGGGGGAGGAGGAGGAAAGAGAAGGAGGGGAGGAAGGAGAAGGGGAAGAGGAGGAAGGAGGAGAGGAAGGAGAGGGGGAAGAGGAGGAGGGGGAAGAAGGAGAGGGGGAGGAAGAAGGAGAGGAGGAGGAAGAAGGGGAGGAAGGAGAGGGGGAAGGAGAGGAAGAGGAAGGAGAAGAAGGGGAAGAAAGGGAAAAGGAAGGAGAACAAGAAGAAAACAGGAACAGAGAAGAGGAGGAAGAGGAGGGGAACTACCATGAGACAGGTGAAGAAGAGAATGAAAGGCAGGTTGAAGGAGAAGGGTACACAAAAGTGAGCAAAATAAAAGGATCTGTGAAATATGGCAAACATAAAACATATCACAAAAAGTCAATTACTAACACACAGGGAAAGGGGAAAGAGCCAAGGACCAAAATGCCAGTGCAGTCAAAACAACTTTTAGAAAACGGGCTACCAGGTTCCAAAAAGTTCTGGAATAATGTATTACCACATTATTTGGAATTGAAATAACAGATCTTAAATTTGACCTGATTATGGCCAGCCAAACAATTTAAATTCCTTGCATATAACAGGCAGTCATTACATGTTACTAAATTGATTTTATGTCATAATTTGATGTGTAGTAAAAAAAGCAACTGATGCGGTTGTGTTAAGAAGTCAAAGACAACAGGAGGCACCAGTAAATTTTGGCCTCTCAAACTAATATTTTGGTGTATTCCCCGCCAAATTATAAAACTATAACTAGAAAATATTAAAAGGTCATATCAGAGTATTAACATTATATATTTATTGAAGGCAGCTTTAGGAATAGTAACATACTGTAAGAGTGTTTTGTTTGTATACTCAAATCATTCCATTTTTAAATGGCACATATCCTTAAGGGCTATAAAAACTTCTAATTTCTTATAAATATGTTAGCACTTTTTTTTAAGTTTGTGATTACAGTTTACCTACTGAATAGAATAATTTTCTAATAATGGATAGTATTGTAAAACCCAGCTGAGGCACTCATATTTTAAAGAAGTAGTGTTGTCTTTTACCTTTTATGTGTTCTTTTTGCAAAAATCTACAAAGTGACAGCTGTGTTCAGAGCTTAGATCCCAATAATGTTATCTCTTTTAGTTACTATCTGGGCAGATTGTAATATATCTAAGGGTGATTAATTTAAATGTATAATCTGGAAATGTGTAAAACTTGAAGTATTTTTGGTCCAGGCAGAGCTACTCATTGGGCCTCAGTTTCCTCATCTGTAAAATGAATGAGATGATGTGATAACTGCAGTCCCTTCTAATTTTCATATTGACAGATTTACTCTATCATTATTGTTATTCGTGTAAGAAACTTTTTAGGGAAGAAAAATTACACTTTAAAATTAATTTAGTTTTCTATGCATTTGTTTTCTTTACTCTTGAAAAGTTATGACACCTTTAATGTCTCATCTTCTGTAATTTTTAATTTCTAAACTCCTATCATTTCTAAACTTTAAGTGTACTTTATCAGAGCCTTCATTTCTGGTATGTGTTATGTGCCCTCAATGTATTAATTGACTGTTCTGTAATTTCAGTTTGTCTGTTGCTTGTCAGAATGTTTCAAGTAAAATAAAAAATTAAATGTATATAGTCAGAAATTCTTTGTGAAAAGATAAACTGTCTAGTATTAGATATTGAATTTTAGAGAGGCTAGATTTCCACTTGAGTAATTTCAATTGTCCCTTAAAATTTTCCATGTACATAATGCAGCTAATTTGTTTGACTGTTGTTTATTTGTGGCTCTTTTTTCTACTGATTTCCTTTCATAATCTCTTATGTCCTGGACATGAGAGATTTCTTATACTTAGTTTTATTAAGAAGGATTTTGATGATAAACTTCCTGTGAATTTTGTGTAGTTGGTTTCTTTGCACATTTGATTCTCTGAGTGAGAAAGAATATAAAGAAAAAGACTAGAATCATATGAAGTGAAGGATTTCCTAGGAGCAATTATAAACTTTACCTTATTTGCAAGGATCTCTGGCAGCTTCCCCTAACCAAATGCACTGATTTGGCATTGCAGTGCTTTACCAAATTCGACCATGTTCATTAAGGGTTAGTAGAAAAGAATTAATACTATGATAAAAATATAGATGCCAAACATGAGTATTTTAGAAGTAACCTTAAAATGATTAAATAAGATGGATGGCAGACACAGAGTTCATAAAGAAAGAAACCTCCAGGGAAATGAGAAACTCTTAAACTCAAGCTATTAATGTAATAGCTATGGGTATTCATCTTCTACTGAAGAATTAATCAGTCAGTAATACTGAAACAATGTTCTAAAATATGCTCATCTCAGTGTTTCTTCACATTTCCCTGGCCAAAAACTTTGTGTGCTCTTTAGAAGCGGTAGTTTCATGCAAGCATCGTTTTCTAGTGGAGAGCACTGGCCTGCCTAGACACTTTGAGACCAAGGCCCTTCTTCTGGCCTTGTACTTTTGAGCTGTGTGAACTTGGGCTAGTTTCTTAGCTTTGCAGGCCTCAACTTCTTCATCTGGGAAATTATAGAATGAGAATGAATGACCTAAATGATTGTTTAGGAACAGCAGGTGTTCATTACCAAATAGAGCACTGCCAGACCCAGATTTTCTGCAATTCCTTTTCCTCAATAAAAAATCTTGAGTCTTGTCACCAAAGTGAGCCCACTTTCAAACTAACTAGCAGTTATACTAAAGTAAGAAGTTATCCTAAACTACTAAGCACACACTAACTTTCTGTGCCCACTGTTGGGCAAATATTTATTTAATCACATGTGGCAGGTCTAGTACCCTCAAAAACTTTATGTAGAGGAGCGTATTGCTGGTTACAGGTGGGGTGGGGGACAAAAGACCCAGGTCTAGCCAGACCTTCATCGACCGAAGTGATTTACATGTTTGTAAATTTTATATATTTTAGGAGGAAAAAAAAGCTTTAGAATGAGACCACTTTGTCCCTCATGTATTAACACTTGGTTACATAGATTAAAATAACTGGTTCCTTCTGTATTGTTCCCGTCTGCTGGTTGTTCTGGCTTTTATAGTAGTTTGTCACTGATGATTATTGAGGGAAGTGTGAGTAGTGTATGTAGAATCCATTGAATTACATTTCCTAATGAGGACTCTGGCTGAAAAAGACTTTAAGGTAAGCTGCAAAGGAGTACCTACCACAGAAACTGCTGCTGCTGCTGCTGAACAGCAACACTCAAGGTGAGTGCAACTGAAACGTCTTCTGTTATTTCACTATAGAGAAACTTGCTATACACATACATAGCAAAAATAAATTGTGACCATGGAAGAAGAAAAGGCCAAGCTTTTCTAGCCTGCAGAACTGAGTAGAAAGAATGCTATTCAGCAAGATTGAGACTAGGGGAGTAGAAGCAGGTTTGGGAGACAGTTTTGTACTGTCGATTTTAGATTGTCTTTGAGAGATGTTCAGGAGGCAGATACATGTATGGATCTGGAGCTCATGGGAGATTGCTGAGTATCGCCAGCTTATAGATGTAGTTAAAACTAGATTTGACTGAAAGCAAGTGTTCCTGGTGTGAATGGAGGAGAACTGAAGACAGAATTCAGAGAAACATCAGTAGGTAAGGGAGAGATTGGGAAAGTAAAGTCTGAGAAGGAGGTGTGGGAGCACACTCACTAGGAAAGAGAGATACCACCCAAGCCAAAGAAGGGGTTTCATCAAGAAAGGAATGGTAGTAGCTGCAGAGAGAGCCTCTAGGGGGCAGCCTAGTAGAGGGCCGGGGCAGAACCCACATTGGCAGGAAAGAATGAGCTGCAGGAAATCTGCTTTGCAGAGGAATAAAATCAGAAGTAAACTGAAAATTAAATATCATATATAGATTTTTAAAAAATATGTAATATTTAAGCATATTTCTCAATTTAAGAAGGGAGATATATATTCCAGAGACTTTGGTACTCTGTGGAAAAGATGACACATTTTTGTTTGTGATTAATATATACATAAGAATAGGATCCTATTGATGTGAGCTTATGAACCAAAAGAAAAATCTGCAGTGCTTTAAACATCAGTGAGGCAGAGAAAAAAAAAATATCTGTGAGAACAGCCATTATTATCTTCAAATTATTTGGGCAGGTTTGGAAACAAACATGGGCTCCAAAGTCCAGTAGAACTGAGTTAAAATCCCAGCCCTTCACTGATTAGCTGTGTGAATCACAGAAAAGTGGTGGTGGTGGTGGTTGTTATTTGACCTTTCTGAGTCTTATTTCCCTCATTTGATAAAGGAAGGGACTTTTGATAATTAACACATGAAACATGTTATACGCGTTCAGCAAACAGTAACTTGTATCACTCTAATTATACTCTGTGATCACACCAAGGTAGGTGCAAATCTGCACTCATGAATCTTCAGGTCACTGACTGATGTGCATGAGTTTAGTCCTGTGAACCTGACTTTTATTTAAATGTAACATAATAGCAAAATATGAATTGGCTTATAGAAATAGATCTGTGGAAATAAAGTAGATTGCAATAATGATAATGCTTAAGTATAAGGCGGAATGAAACTGTTACACACCATACATTAGTCAGTAAATGCCCCTAAATATTTAAAATGTATTGAAAAGCTGATCACACTCGTGATTAGCCTAAAATTCAGGTATGTGTTCTGTCACTGAACAACATTTCCCTCTGTGTCCTAACCTTGTTATCAAAATAAATAAAAATAATTAGCACATAAGGTATAGTTGTGGATCATGCATTTGTTTATGGACAGCAAGAAAATAAATTTTCTAAGGAAAAAGAGGGGAAATAGTAAAGAATAAATCTGAAAATGAGAATAAAATTGCCTACCGGCAAGATATTCTATACTCTGAATTCAAACTGGAATGTATTCAGTGGTGAAAATACAGGATTAGGAATAACATAAGGGAGTGGTGCCTGGAAAGAAGAAAGAGTTTAAGAGATTATAAAGTAGTATCATTATCGGCCAAGAATTTGGAGATCAAAGCTGGCAATCCATGGGTGCAGTCTGGACTGCAGACTTATTTTGTTTGGTGCGGTGATTTTTTAAAAAAATCATATTGGTCGCCAGCATTGAAATGTCAGGAGATTTTACATTTATAAAATATTTCCAAGCCAGGCATGGTGGCTCACACCTGTAATCCCAGAACTTTGGGAGGCTGAGGCCGGAGGATTGCTTGAGGCCAAGCGTTCAAGACCAGCCTGGCAACATGATAAAAACTTGCCTCTACAAAAAAATTAAAAGATTACTTAGGCATAGTGACGTGTGCCCTGTAGTCAAAGCTACTCAAGAGGCTGAGGTGGTCGGGTCACTTGAGCCCTGAAGGTCAAGGCTGTAGTGAGCTGTGATTGTACCACTGCACTCTAGCTTGGGTGACAGAGCCAGACCGTGTCTCAAAAAATAATAATAACGTTTCTCAGACTTTTGGAAAGCCTGAGTCTGGGAGCATTGTGCTCTGGGAACACTGATCTGAAGCTGAGCTGAGGCTGGGCCCCCTTCTCCACAGTTCCCATGGCTCTTTCTTCCCTCACTGGCCTAGATGCTGGGCTTCTGGCTCACAATAACAAATAAGTGGATGTTTTGAACGAGCTATTTTCTAGTGATAAGATCTGGGACATTATGGGAAAATAGTCCAAACTTTTTGTTTTTCAGCAGTCCTCAATGCACACTAGGAATTCTATCTTACTTTTTATGGAAGGGCCTTTACAAAATCATTTATACTTATATACAAATATATAGTATTTGTTCATATGTGATTTTTCTCTGTAAATAACCTTTTTAATCTTAACACAAATCCTCTGAGATAGGTATTGCTAATATTATTTTTCCATTTTACAGGTAGACTATAAAATGCATTCACTGGGCGCCACGCTTAGGCCATGTGTGATTAGATTAAGGCTTGGAAAGCAGCACTTAGATCTTTGTATTTAATGCCCTTCCCACCCCCTACTGCTGTTTCCATGATTTCCATTGTAGTTAAAACATGAACTTACATGTTAACTTTTCCTGTCCTTAAAAAAAAAAAAAGCTTGAAATTTTGATTTTTCCAACTGATATAACTTAAAGTTTTATACTATATTAACCTATTTGGAAAACATTTTCTACCCTATATGACATTGAGGCATGTCAGAAATTCAGAATTATAGCACAAAATTTTATACTTTAAACTTTTGGTTTGCTTTATTACTTTATTTATTTATTTATTTATTTTTGAGACGGAGTTTCACTCTTGTTACCCAGGCTGGAGTGCAATGGCGCGATCTTGGCTCACCGCAACCTCTGCCTCCTGGGTTCAGGCAATTCTCCTGCCTCAACCTTCTCAGTAGCTGGGATTACAGGCACGCGCCACCATGCCCAGCTAATGTTTTTGTATTTTTAGTAGAGACGGGGTTTCACCGTGTTGACCAGGATGGTCTCGATCTCTTGACC